GGGAACCTCAGCGTGGGAACCTCATCACTGTGACCTCAGCACTGTGACCTCAGCAATGTGACCTCAGCGTGGGAACCTCAGCACTGTGACCACAGCTCTGAGACCTCAGCACTGTGACCTCAGCACTGTGACCTCAGCACTGTGACCTCAGCTTGGGAACCTCATCACTGTGACCTCAGCACTGTGACCTCAGCAATGTGACCTCAGCGTGGGAACCTCAGCACTGTGACCTCAGCACTGTGACTTCAGCTCTGTGACCTCAGCACTGTGACCTCAGCGTGGGAACCTCAGCACTGTGACCTCAGCACTGTGACCTCAGCACTGTGACCTCAGCGTGGGAACCTCAGCACTGTGACCTCAGCACTGTGACCTCAGCAATGTGACCTCAGCGTGGGAACCTCAGCACTGTGACCACAGCTCTGAGACCTCAGCACTGTGACCTCAGCACTGTGACCTCAGCACTGTGACCTCAGCGTGGGAACCTCAGCACTGTGACCTCAGCACTGTGACCACAGCTCTGAGACCTCAGCACTGTGACCTCAGCTCTGTGACCTCAGCACTGTGACCTCAGCGTGGCAACATCAGCACTGTGACGTCAGTGTGGGAACCTCAGCACTGTGACCTCAGCACTGTGACATCAGCTCTGTGACCTCAGCACTGTGACCTCAGCGTGGGAACCTCAGCACTGTGACCTCAGCTCTGTGACCTCAGCACTGTGACCTCAGCGTGGGAACCTCAGCACTGTGACCTCAGCATTGTGACCTCAGCACTGTGACCTCAGCGTGGGAACCTCAGCACTGTGACCTCAGCACTGTGACCTCAGCGTGGGAACCTCAGCACTGTGACCTTAGCACTGTGACCTCAGCGTGGGAACCTCAGCACTGTGACCTCAGCACTGTGACCTCAGCGTGGGAACCTCAGCACTGTGACCTTAGCACTGTGACCTCAGCGTGGGAACCTCAGCACTGTGACCTCAGCACTGTGACCTCAGCGTGGGAACCTCAGCACTGTGACCTCAGCACTGTGACCTCAGCGTGGGAACCTCAGCACTGTGACCTCAGCGTGGGGACCTCAGCGTGGGACCTCAGCACTGTGACCTCAGCACTGTGACCTCAGCTTGGGAACCTCTGCGTTGTGATCTCAGCACTTTTACCTCAGCACTGTGACCTCAGCGTGGGAACCTCAGCACTGTGACCTCAGCACTGTGACCTCAGCGTGGGGACCTCAGCACTGTGACCTCAGCGCGGGAACCTCAGCAATGTGACCTCAGCGTGGGAACCTAAGCACTGTGACCTCAGCGTGGGAACCTCAGCACTGTGACCTCAGCACGGGAAACTCAGCACTGTGACGGCAGCGTGGGAACTTCAGCGTGGGAACCTCTGCACAGTGACCTCAGCACTGTGACCTCAGCGTGGGGACCTCAGCGTGGGACCCTCAGCACTGTGACCTCAGCGCGGGAACCTCAGCACTGTGAATTCAGTGTGGGGAACTCAGTGTGGGAACCTCAGCACTGTGACCTCAGCACTGTGACCTCAGCAATGTGACCTCAGCGTGGGAACCTCAGCACTGTGACCTCAGCTCTGTGACCTCAGCACTGTGACCTCAGTGTGGGGACCTCAGCGTGGGAACCTCATCACTGTGACCTCAGCACTGTGACCTCAGCAATGTGACCTCAGCGTGGGAACCTCAGCACTGTGACCTCAGCGTGGGAACCTCAGCACTGTGACCTCAGCACTGTGACTTCAGCTCTGTGACCTCAGCACTGTGACCTCAGCGTGGGAACCTCAGCACTGTGACCTCAGCTCTGTGACCTCAGCACTGTGACCTCAGCGTGGGAACCTCAGCACTGTGACCTCAGCACTGTGACCTCAGCACTATGACCTCAGCGTGGGAACCTCAGCACTGTGACCTCAGCACTGTGACCTCAGCGTGGGAACCTCAGCACTGTGACCTCAGCACTGTGACCCGAGCACTGTGACATCAGCATGGGAACCTCAGCACTGTGACCTCAGCACTGTGACCTCAGCGTGGGAAACTCAGCACTGTGACCTTAGCACTGTGACCTCAGCGTGGGAACCTCAGCACTGTGACCTCAGCGCTGGAACCTCAGCACTGTGACCTCAGCGTGGGAACCTCAGCACTGTGACCTCAGCAGTGTGACCTCAGCGTGGGGACCTCAGCACTGTGACCTCTGCATGGGAACCTCGGCACTGTGACCTCAGCACTGTGACCTCAGAGTGGGAACCTCAGAACTTTGACCTCAGCACTGTGACCTTTGCATGGAAACCTCAGCAATGTGACCTCAGCACTGTGACCTCAGCGTGGGAACCTCAGCACTGTGACCTCAGCGTGGGAACCTCAGCACTGTGACCTCAGCCCGGGAACCTCAGCACTGTGACCTCAGCACTGTGACCTCAGCACTGTGACCTCAGCACTGTGACCTCAGCAATGTGACCTCAGCGTGGAGACCTCAGCGTGGCGACCTCAGCGTGGGGACCTCAGCACTGTGACCTCAGCACTGTGACCTCAGCACTGTGACCTCAGCGTGGGAAACTCAGCGTGGGGACCTCAGCATTGTGACCTCAGCACTGTGACCTCGGCACTGTGACCTCAGCGTGGGGACCTCAGCGTGGGAACCTCAGCACTGTGACCTCAGCACTGTGACCTCAGCGCTTGGAACCTCAGCGTGGGAACGTCATCACTGTGACCTCAGCGTGGGAACGTCATCACTGTGACCTCAGCACTGTGACCTCAGCGTGGGAACCTCAGCACTGTGACCTCAGCGTGGGAACCTCCGCGATGTGACCTCAGCACTGTGACCTCAGCACTGTGACCTCAGCGTGGGAACCTCAGCACTGTGACCTCAGAGTGGGAACCTAAGCACTGTAACCTCAGCGTGGGTACCTCAGCACTGTGACCTCAGCGTGGGAACCTCAGCACTGTGACCTCCGCACTGTGACCTCAGTGTGGGAACCTCAGCACTGTTACCTCAGCACTGTGACCTCAGCACTGTGACCTCAGCGTGGGAACCTCAGCACTGTGACCTTAGCACTGTGACCTCAGTGTGGGAACCTCAGCACTGTGACCTCAGCACTGTGACCTCAGCACTATGACCTCAGCGTGGGAACCTCAGCACTGTGACCTCAGTGTGGGAACTTCAGCGTAGGAACCTCAGCACTGTGACTTCAGCACTGTGACCTCAGCGTGGGAACATCAGCACTGTGACCTCAGTGTGGGAACTTCAGCGTAGGAACCTCAGCACTGTGACTTCAGCACTGTGACCTCAGCGCGGGAACCTCAGCAATGTGACCTCAGCGTGGGAACCTCAGCACTGTGACCTCAGCACCGTGACCTCAGCACTGTGACCTCAGCGTGGGGACCTCAGCGTGGGGACCTCAGCACTGTGACCTTAGCGCGGGAACCTCAGCAATGTGACCTCAGCGTGGGAACCTCAGCACTGTGACCTCAGCGTGGGAACCTAAGCACTGTGACCTCAGCGTGGGAACCTCAGCACTGTGACCTCAGCGCGGGAACCTCAGCACTGTGACCTCAGCCCGGGAACCTCTGCGATGTGACGTCCGCTTGGGAACCTCAGCACCGTGATCTCAGCACTGTGACCTCAGCGTGGGGACCTCAGCACTGTGACCTCAGCGTGGGAACCTCAGCACTGTGACCTCAGCACTGTGACCTCAGCACTGTGACCTCAGCACTGTGACCTCAGCGTGGGAACCTCAGCACTGTGACCTCAGCACTGTGACCTCAGCACTGTGACCTCAGCGTGGGAACCTCAGCAATGTGACCTCAGCACTGTGACCTCAGCTTGGGAACCTGTGGTGGTTTTACTCAGGTGGGCAGCCAAGCTCCACCTCAACCGCTCTCTCACTCCCCCTCTCCTCAGAAGGAGGGGGAGAAAATACAACACAGAGAACTCGAGGTTTGAGATGAGAAAGGTTTAATTAAAGGGAAAGGGAATGGGAAAGAGAAACAGATACAAAAGAAACAATCAGTCCGCGCGGAAGCACAGAGAGAGAGAAAAATTATTCTCTACTTCCCATCAGCGAGCGGTGTTCGGCCACGTCCTGGGAAGCAGGGCCTCAAACGCGTAGTGGTTGTTCAGGAGGAACAGCCCCCTCCCCCACGAGAGCCCCCCCTTTTATTGCTGAGTGTGACATCAGGTGTTATGGAATATCCCTTTGGTTGGTTTAGGTCAGCTGCCCCAGCAATGTCCCCTCCCCATCACTTGCCCACCCCCAGCCTGCTGGCTCTTGGGGGCTTAGGAGTCCTGATGCTGTGCCAGCACTATGCAGCAATAGACACAACACTGGAGTGATATCAGTGCTGTTCCAGCTACGAGTGCAGAGCACAGCACTGTGCGGGCTGCTGCAGGGAAAAGGTGACTCCAGCTCAGACAGACCCAACACAGAACCTCAGCACTGTGACCTCAGCAGTGTGACCTAAGCGCCGGAACCTCAGCGATGTGACCTCAGTGCGGGAACCTCCGCGATGTGACCTCGTGTCCTTGTTTCAGTTAGAATAGAATTAATTTTCTTCCTAGCAGCTGGTGGAATGCTGTGTTTTGGCTTAGGATGAGAAGAGTGCTGATAACACCCCGATGCTTTAATTGTTGCAGAGCAGTGCTTATACCAAGCCAAGGACATCTCAGCCTTTTGCTCTGTCCTGCCAACGGGCAGGCTGGGGGTGCAGTAAGAGCTGGGAGGGGACAGACCCAGGACAGGTGACCCAAACTAGCCAAAGGGGTATTCCATACCATCTGACGTCATGCTAAACAATATATAGGGGTGGCTAGCCGGGGGGACGGGGCCGGACTGCTCGGGGTGAGCAATTGCATTGTGCATCACTTGTTTGTACATATGATTATTACTTTCCTATTATCACCATTGTATTATTATTATTGTTATTATTTTCTTATTATTATTTTCCTGTCTTATTAAACTGTCTTTATCTCAACTCACGGGCTTCACTTTCCATTTCTCTCCCCCGTCCCAGAGAGGGAGGGGAGAGGGTGAGCGAACAGCTGCGTGGTGTTTAGCTGCCGGCCGGGTTAAACCACGACACCTCGGCGCGGGAACCTCAGCGATGTGACCCTCAGCGCGATCTTCCAAATCTTTCTCCACAGCCGAGACGCAGGCCTGTAGGGGAGAGGAGAGGCTTTCTTCATACTTCTTTTGACTTACATGTTGTGAAAGCCGCATTTCTTTTAGGAACAGCATAGTCTCGCAACTTCCACTTAGTGAAAGTTATGAGCTAACTGCACCAGTACCTTCCCCATCAGTTTCTACTCACCGCAAGGCATAATTTGAGTGCACATTAAGGCACCTTTTTCCACAGTGCCTGTTGTGGAATCCTAACAAATAGTTAAGAACATTCTCCAAAGTCAGGCTTACCTGTAAGCACTTGAGCTTCTGAGTTGGTGGGGCTTTCTTCTTAGCTTTCATTATCATTATATTTGGAAGAGCTTGAAAGGGAGCTTAGAAGCCACGGAAGTAATTTCACTGAAAACAGACAAGGTGAAGGATGTACTCAAACTCCTCGACATTAAAGAACTGTAGAACCCAGGAACACTTACCTGCCAGCTCCTGAACTTGAGTCACTTCCACACTGCTTCACAGTGACTTTGCACCACCAGGGTCTCACCACACTGAGAGGGCAACAACAACATCGCTAACTCATAGAGTCACTGAAACTATTTCACAGAGATGGGAGAAAACGTGAAGAAAAAGCAGCCCACCAGGGAACACTGAATCCGCTTCACCACAACAGCAGAAAAGCACCCTAGAGAACCTGAGCCTCAAACTCCCCACTAGGAAGGCAATTCCCCACAAGTCCTCAGGCTTCCTATATAGCAAAAGTCAAATGATCCACACCTGGCAGGTTTCACTTCACAAGGGTGGAGCCAAGAGACCATCTAGCTTTACTTGGTTATTTTTTGTTGCTTGTTGAAAGTAATGCTTTTTTTTTTTTAAGACTAATTTCAATAGCACCTTCTGCATATGCTTCTCTCTGTGGGTAACACAGGGTTTGGGAAGACACTAGTCATAGCGTTTTGAATCTTCTACTCCAGTTAAAGTAAAATATACATCAGGCTTTCACAGTCCAGTCCTACTGAGGACAGTAATTTCTTCATTAGCTCTAATTTGATGTGTTCAGCTGCAAACTATACAAGAGCTGTAAGTATTGAGAATGCACCTGGATGTACCTTTACCTCAGCAGATTCCAATATTGTAGCAAAAGGAGTGGGCTAGTTCCTGATTCTTCCTGCCCCAAAATACAGGGTTGTTAGTACATTCTAGTCCATACACCTATCTTGTTCTTTAAGAATATCTGTATCCCTGGCCATTTTTTGTTCTGCCTAGTGTTATAAATGGCTCAGGATTCAAATTAGGATTAAATAAAAAAATAGGATTTATTAAAAGAATATAAAGGAATAGAGGTAAGCAAACAGTGCTGGGTGCACCGGGAGTCTGCGCTCCACCAGGACGCACACCAGTTACATCAAGCAGCTGATTTTTATGCTCCTAGACTAATACATATTCATTACTACTTCTAAAAAAATAGATTATTATAATTAGCTTCTGGGGTCCAGACCCTCCTACTGGAGCATGCGCATCAGTCTCCTCTGGGGGTCTCTAGGGGTCTTTCATGCTGAAGGCTCGTAGTCTTCCTCTCCCCCTTTGTACTCACTTGGCACCATTCCAAGTTTATGGAACACTTTCTGCAGGTCTTGTCTCCCAACCGTCCTTCAGCTTCTTTTTTCTTCCTCTTAATCTCTTGGCCCCCTGGCCAGATACCAAGGATCCTCATAGTATCCCATAACAGTCACTAGTTGTTATCAGTTGTTCTGAAACTCCCAGACATCAAACACAAACAGCTTTCTTATTTGACGCTTCACGAGTAATTAAAACATTCTTCCCCAGCCATTCACAGACACATCTATAGCAGTGTTAAGTTAATCTCGAAGAAGACAGGAAAAAAGGCTGTAACTGTTAGAAACAGAAGTCCGGAATAACTAAAGCAAACAGGTTCATAAATTTAAGGAGTGTTTTCTGAAGACGTGATAAATTGACTAGAATGAGGGGGAGACTGGGACACACTGCATCTGTGGTTCAAGAATTAAATTGCCAGTGCAGGGCCCAGAGGCAGACAGGATTCAAACAGAATTGTTCTTTATGGACACAAATTGTTAACACATTCCTCACACTAGGCATGCAAGAGTTTCCTTGCCACTAACAAAAACAGCCTTGAAGTCACAGAGGAGCAAAGCCATAGCTTACGCTCTTTCTGTAAATTCCCACTTCACCTCCTCTTCTTCCTTGCCTGTTTTGTTCTTCTTCATCAGTGAAGAATATGCTCCCTAAAGATGAAATTGACCTAGATGATCTGAAGCCAATATGACAGTTTAGTTCCATATTTGTGCCATCTGAGGAAAGAATTATATCTTGTCCTTCTGGAAACTGTATAGAAAAAGGGCAAATCCTGTCACCGTCTTCAAGTTCAAGCTCTGGAAGTTCAGCTTGAATTGAAGGACAGGCACAGTTTTTAGTATTTTAGTTTGGTACTAGTTTTTATAAGATGAAACATTTTAATGCTGTTGTTCTTGCCGCTGAACAAGTGACTAATTTTACAACTTTCCAGCAGCAAAATGTCCACCAGTGTCCAGAACCTGAATCACTTGGTATTGTAGTATGCTTGTTCATAGCACAATAGCTCATAGTGTATAGAAACAAGAGTGCATTTGCAAACTCTGCCTGGCTGCATGTCCAGCAGGAACAAAGTCCTTTATTTTTGCCTTTCCTCATCCCTATTCCAACTTCCCTCCCTCCTCTTCCTTCCCAGAGCAGAACCATCCCCTGCCCCACTGTCATGAAAGTAGAAATGGGCCCACTTTCAGCAAGCTGCTGAAAGATAACATGTTTTCTCTCTGTAACAAGTTCAATAAGGGATGATCAAAGCATATCATAGTTTCCTAAATTACATTAAATTCCTTAAATGGGATTTTTTTCTTGAATTGGAAACATCTCTCTTCTGTACATCAGATTGGACTCATCTACTCTAAGCTATTTATGAAGTCCAGTAGGATTTTTTTTTTTTTTAATATTTCCTGGGAATTTCTACCACTCATGCAAATGATTTCATTATATGTTTTATTTTTTTTAACTCAATATCTGTGCAGTAAAAGCTCAGATATATAGACGTATGCAGTTACCATAAAGCAACCACAAAGTTTTGGGAGCATCTCGGATACCCAAAATGCAATCTATTGCTACTCACAATGAACTTTCTGACCTACAGGAGGATGCTATGCAAGGTGCAAATGATGCTAACACAATCATACATGCTCCCTGAAAGTGAGAAATTTGCTTGCACATAGCTATGCTTTTGCAGGAGAACGGTTCTCCATTTGGGTGGAAGAAATAATTCTGTATGAGACTATCAATTCAATGTATTTTAATTTTCACTGTAAATGCAACTAGAATTTTAGGAATATACATTTTACAAAATACTAAATAGAAATACAAATTTATCATGGCTTGCTCAATATCTTGAACATGATACGCTGTCAAGAATCACAGAACCATGTAATGGTTGGGGTTAAAAGAAAGCTTAAACATCACCTGGTTCCATCCCCCTGCCATGGGCAGGGACACCTCCCACCAGACCAGGTTGCCCAAAGCCCCCTCCAGCCTGGCCTTGACCACCTACACGGATGGAGCATCCACAGCTTCTGTGGGCAACCTGTGCCAGTGCCTCACCACCGCCTGAGTAAAGAATTTATTCCTAACATCTAACCTAAATCTATCCTCTTTTCATTTAAAGAATAACACCTGTTGGGACAGTACAGGGATGTAGAGAAGTAACCACTGAGGGCTACTACTGGAAAAGAGTGCTCCTCAATGTGTGCTCTGGTGCTCTGGGAAAGGGGCTGCTGGAGCACCACCTGCTGCTGCACTGCTATAAAATTGCTGCACTCTTTGCTGCTGGGGACTGGCATTTCAACTACAGAATGGATGTGCATTCACATGATCAGGCAATGCCTTTCTGATGTTTTCTATTATTCTGACATTTACAGTATTTAGCCTGTGCTGCTTAGCTTTCATTTGCTCTCACTTTTCAGAGAACCTTTGGCCAGCTGGTAATGTAATAATTGTTACAGAGAGGGTGATGGATGTTTTTGCAGCAGTGGAAGCTCACACATGAACTTGTTCCAGCTATGAATTAATTTAGGATATTTTGCAACAAGAAGGGTTGCAAACACTGTGTAATTTTAGGAACGTGGAACCCTCTTCAGTTAACAGAAAATAATAGGTACCTAAGAAATGAGATTTGGCTCTCAGTAGTTGCCCAAATTATTACTTCTGTGTGAATAGCCTTCAACACTTGTAATAATGCTGACCTCTGTTTCTGCTGGATAATTGCTTTGATTATGCATTGCTTGTTTCTGTTGTTGTCTTACAGCACCGACAGATGTCATTTTGTTGCTTACTGTATAGATGCCTAATGGAATATGATTTCAGCTCTTGAGTCTCAATGAGGGTCTTAACTGCAAGACTATCATTTTTTCCCCATTATATTAAATGCTTGTCACTATGGCTAGGAAAAACTAGACAGTGGAAAATATCTATCATGTCTAGCCTAAAATACAAGCATAACTAATCCTACCATAATGGATAAATATGCTATATCTGTAGCTGATAAATCAGGCCATATTACAGTGAAATGAAGTGTAGATAAGGTGAAAGAACTGCACATTGAAAGGGGGAGCTGAAGATATGTGGAAACTCTATGTTGGTATGATCAGTCGGGAAGAGAGATGGATGTCAGTGAGAAGACGTCAACGTAATGTTTGCTTTATGCAACATATCAAAACAGACAGGATATTAAACTGTATTAAGACAAGCATCTATAGGTAGATTCACAGGTAGACAGCAGCATTTAAAAACAGTGGGTGACTATGAAAGGGAAAACAAATAATGTGGAAAGACACTCAACTGAAAAGAAAAAAAAAAGGATAAATACGAAACTAAGCTTACAAAGAATTATTAGGATATATATATATAAATAATAAGTGAAAGAGTAAAGGTCAACTGAATGTCCATGCTTCATCATTTTTTCTTAGTATGGGAAGAAAACCTAAAATAAGAAGTAAAAAAAAAATAAAAAATAAATGTGTAAAATTCATAGAAGAAAGCATATATTTACACAATGCATCATTAACTAAGTAACACGAATTCCCCAAAGTATGTATCTTCTATACTTGGCAAGATATGTTCTATCCTAATTCCAATTTAATACAATTCTGAAGCCTTGCTATTGATCTTTAAGGCATCATTGGATGAGGACCCAGCTAAATTGGGTAGTATCCTTTCACCCATAACATATGAAGACAAATAAGCTCTCCTTGTGTAATGCAGCAACAAACTGTGATGACATTCATGAGGACTAAGTCTAGTTTGTTTCAGGCAAAGCGGATTGATAATGCAATGAGTAACTGTAGAAGGTTATATTGAACCACAGCCTGATTGCTTTTAAAGTATACAGACATATCTGTCTGGTAATGGTTTCCAACTGTAAGTGAAGCCAAGGAAATAAAAACATCAAGCAGCTCAGAAAGCTCAGTACCTAAAAAAAAAAAAAAAAAAAAAAAAGGAAAAGAAGAGGGAGTGAACAACACTTCAGACAATCGCAGTGCAGATTTATCTTACTAAGCACTTGGATTCTAAGGACATAATTTGGATAAACTGCATGTAAGATGTAAAGATACATGTATAATAAAGATACCTGGAATTGTACCACAAAATGGTTAGGCATTAATTTTCAGCCTACAGGCAAAAGAAAATAAATTCACTAAGATCTTGACATGCTCTTCAATAATTTGATCATTACTGCCAAAGAAAGAGTGTTGCCTTCAGGGGGCAGTGGCGACCTGGTTCAGGAACGGCACGGCGACCAACCCCAGGCCGCTCGGTCCATCGGCTCACAGACACCAATGTGGTGGATGGCAAATGGCGTTTCTTGTCGAGTCCCATGGGGTTATCTACCCGAGGCCCATAGCGTCACTTCGCTTGCTTACAGCACAGCCCACACGCTACTGGCCATCAAGGGAGGGGCTCCACCTTTCCGTACAGTGCCACATCTTCCGGCCGCCA